ATATATATATATATATATAAAATTATTGTAAATGATTTTATATTTCGAACAAGAACGAACTCATCACTATATGTATTTGGTTCGTTTGACTAACCGAACGAAAAAAATTTATTCACGTTCGTCTCGTTTACTTATCGAACGAATCGAACACGAACTCATTGACGAATCGAACACAAACTGTTCGCGAACAACGAGCTTTTTTAACGGCCCTACTGCGTGTAGTAGTAAGAAACATCATTAGCCATTTTTTCTATGAATAAATGAAATTTAAAGAAATTGATAATTAAGATTTATTATTATTATTATTATTATGCTAATTAACTTAATAATAATAAAGGAAAAATTCTTTAATCTAATATTGTTGTAAGAAAAATATAAAATTAAATATAATTTTTGAATATTCATATTAAAGTGTAAGAGAAACAAATTTTTATGTGAAAATTTTGAAAAAAATATTACAGAATGTCGCCCAATTAAAATGATCCACAAGGAAGTTAAAAAAATAAATATCCACTCTTCTCATAAATTAGAAAAAATGATACTAAAATCTCAAGTGCAGTAAAATAATATGAATTTTACAACCATATAGGGGTAGTTCATACTAGAACAATTGTAGTTGTGGTTATAACAATTGTACTTGACAATAAGGGTCATATTTGGTGGCTACAACAACAATAGTTGGCCACCATAGCCAAGTTGGGCTATAATAAGTGTTGTGGTGATCGATGATTGCTAGAAATTGTTGCTCTTGCACTTATATTCAAGGTTTATGATTTAATTAATAGCTCACTCTTCTCTTCTCCTCATCTTATCAAATAAAGAATGTGAATCTATTTATAATTCTTGAGAGAAAAATTTTAGTAAATTAAACTAGAATCATTTTTTCAATATTTAAAGGAGTGTTGGTGGCTACAAAAGTCTTAATAAGGAGCTATAAGAGTTGTGATTCACGTAAGTCATAGTTGATCACATAGGTCATACTGGTTAGCCATAATAACATCTATAGGTCATAGAGGTTTGAGTTGAGAGACACAAGAGCTATGATAATGTTCGTAGTTAGTAGATTCTAGATTTGGGAGCTATATGAGTTGTGATAACGTTCGTAGGCTACAAAAGTTGCAGTTAGGAGTTGCATGAGAGGTTATAACGTCGTAGGTCGTAGATATTAAAGTTTGGAGCTGCATGAGTTGTGATAACATCCGTAGGCTACATAGTCCTGAGTTGGGATTTGCATGAAATGTGATAAGGTTCATAGACCACATAGGTCGGACTTGAGAGTTCTATGAGTTGTGATAATGCCCGTAGATCATAAAAGTCGGAGTTGGAAGCTAAATGAACTATTAGCCACGTAGGTCGTGGTAGGGAGCTATTCTGAGAAGGTCAATATATATAAGTATTATGGTTATAACTAGTCATTGTGGGGTGCATTATTGTATTATCTTAGGGGTGCATCCTTGCATTGTCTTCAGGATGTGTTATATGAGATAAATTTATGTTCTCTTACCACTTAAATTATTGTGTTTTCTCCCTTATTTATTATGTCTTATGATTCTGAAAGGTTCTTTGTGATATTTTGCAGGTTACAGGAGTTGAATGTATGTAAGGGAGCTAGAACACTAAGTTACCAATTTCTTGGAGCCGACATAACCACGCAAGATCTTGGCAGAATTACTTCGAGTTCACTATTAACCTAACATAACTACACTAAATTCTGGTGTGACTATGCTAGAATTGGTGTAACTACATTGGTCTCAGTCATAGTTATAACACCACCAGTCAAAATCCTATTTTGGCATCTTTTTGCATGAAATTTTTGGCAAGACCTATAAAAGAAGAGCTTGGGCATGGCCTAAGGAGAGTTGGGTAGTGTTTGGAGGGTCTCTACAATAGTTCTTAGGGTTTCTAGATGGAACCTTAAGGTTTCTCTTCCTCTAACTTTGGGGTAAATTTTCTAGAGTTTTTTTTCTTTTAGATTTTAGAGATTATCTGAGAAAGACAGAGAGAGACTAGGGGTCATGTATGAGGGAGAGTGTAGAGTGAATTCATTGTTGTTGAGGATTCAGTGGATTGTAGAAAACACTTAGCTTGGTTGTATGTTTTTGTGTTTCATTTCATTTGAATCTTCAATATTTTAAATGAAAAATATCTACATTTTTCTTCCTCATGTGTTATAGCCAATCTTCTTTCATGCTTTTGTGATGTAAAGATGGTATTTTTCTCATTATTTTCTTCATGAGTTTCTTTTTTTTTTTCGTTGTATGTATTTTATGTGCTTCTGAATGATGCATGTTGGCATGTTGACCTTTTTATCATCATTTACTTCTAACTTGATCGATTAGGATGTTAAAAAATCTTGTGATCTAGGACTTCTAAGCATCACATAGTAGAACAAGTAGGTTAACCCTCTGTACTCTAAGGTAAGCAATATATATTTATTAGGAAATTTTAACATAGATAGGGGATCTGAGGAATCCTGAGAAACGCTGGAGGGTTATGCGGGTTTTAATTGTAATTTGGTTTCCAAATCTTTTTTGTGACCTAGACATATGATAAGGAGAATTGAATCTCTGGTTGTCAACTATCACATAGAGGAACATATAGGATAAAATAGAGAAAATATTGTTCTTGTGTCATTGAAGCACTACTCTTATCACCTTTGAAAGACTCAAAGTTGTTACTTGTCTTTTTTGTTTAATTTCATTTTTTTGGCTACTTCTTCTTGAATTGTTAAGATTTCCATTCTTTGATTTGATCAACTCAAAGTAGATTCAACAATTTTCTAAACTAGAACTTAATATATTAAAAGATTTTGACACCATTCTCATTAGATTAATATGTTGACTCATAATTTATAAATCAAGTGATCAACCTGTATATTTATATGATTTACTGACTTTCCTTGGAGCAATTTCGGACATCAATACAACTTTGCTTGTCTTTATGGTGTGTCATTGCATTACTCCGTAGGTTGTTTCGTTACTCTACAATGTACGTCGAGATTCCACTACACACATCATGATTCCACAAGAAGCTTCATTGCAACAAGCAAACTGGGGTGGCTAACGGTGGTCAACTCAGTCGTCAAGCAGTGGTT